TGTCATATCCGCAATAGCATGGTGCCTTTGAACAGATTTCGGGTCTTTTTTGAAAGAATAAATCCTGTAATTTGATTTTGATAATTTGACGGGTGATTGCTGATGGCAAAAAGATCGATAGAACTAGCTGAGATATACGCAAAGCGAAGGACCCGGATGGTGTAGTGGTGAAGTGCGCTACTCCCCGGTAAGGACAACAGCTCGTGTTCGTTCCCCACTGCATACACCTGTGGTCCGGAGTTTTGCAAATATCTCAGCACTTCATACGAGTTATATTTCACAACATACCATGCCATTAAGTAGAAAAAGGCAGTAAATAAAAGAGTTAAGCCTGTAATTTGACACAAATCCCTTTGTTGCCCTGTAGTAAGCCTTGAAGGGTGAGACCACACTCTGCTATGTAAAACAGAACGCTAAGTCTCTTCGCTCATTTTTCACTCACATTAGCGGAGCGTTGCAGAGCTGTCACTTACTTGCGTAACCGTTTGCGGTAACCATTTGTTTTTGTTTCAGAAACTTTTAAAGGACTGTGCTACACGAGTATAAGAGCACGTGCTGCATCAGTTTACGAATATGTAGATGAGATTTGGACTGAATTGGCAACACCTCTCTAGGTGTCAGAGGCGTCACACGAGTCGTTGTCACTGTAGACCCAGCGCTCATCTTCAATCTTGATCTCTCTTAGCCTGTACGGAGTAGGTAGCAAAGATTCATGAACAATGACTTACATTGCTCTATAATCCTCGGCAAAGTATGGGCCGTCTAACAAAATCTCATTTGCAGTAGCTCTTTCAACTGAAGGGCTTGTCGATGGTCACATAAACCGCACAGGGTACCCTTTCCAATTCGGTTGTACTGCAAACCAAGTGTAGCTCGCATTCATATGACAAACTGCCTTCATCTTATACACGCTATCGCCCAGAAAGTGGTAGCTCTTCGTAGTCCTTTTCGCACTGATCGCTGCCAGCACCAAACCGTCCATAGGTGGTCACGCATTAAGCACAAAACGGTTAGGATTTTTTGAAAATCGATAATAATTTTATGCTAACATCTCTAAAAGGAAAAGGGCGAATTAAGCAAATTTGAATAGAATTAAGAAAAGACACATCATTCAACTTAGTGGGTCTAGACGTAATAGACGTTGGTCAAGTCATGCCCCATAGGCAAGGTAATTAAAAACAGTAGAGGTGTTTAGATATGAGCTAAACTCGGAGCATCAGTTAGGCTTCAAACCAGCAATTGGCTTTAGCGGATGCTCACAGGTCAACCGACAACCATGTAATGTTTGTTAGTACGACCTCTTACTACTGTTTATTAGTCCTTGATAGTTGAATGTCCTGTACTCATTGGTTGTGCGGGCTCCAGCATAGTCTCCAATTTTTCGGAGATTTTCTGATTTAACCACTATGGTTTCCTGGAATCCCAAGGTCAGCCTGGCCAAAGCATGCCCCATGTCTTCACCGCCACAGGCAGACGCAGCCCTTGTGGATCAGAGGGAGGTCTACCGCCATACGACTAATTTGATACCAGGACGGCGGTGGTTTCTGGCATTGGTTTACTCCTAGCTAGGCTTCATGTTGGAAACGGCTTCTCAGCTTGGGAGACCCTACCAAGGGGATGAATACCACCGTTGTACATCGCATCCCGACACCCATGCACACTACCCAGCCACAATGAGGCGGTAAACCGTTGGGACTGGTACGACTTCTATCGTGGTACTTTATCAATGTTTAACAAAAGGCACCTTCGAATGTTTCTGCTACCTTCGTTGTGTTAAGCCAATAGAAATAGATACTAGAAGCTAGAGAAGAGACACTAGGAAAACAGTAGCCTTCAGAGTCCTTTAGGTGGATTAAAAATGAAACATAATCCATTTTTGTATACAATCTTCTGCGTAGGTCTTAAATTTTACCCAGAAGGAGGTTACGTGAATAAGTTATGAATGTCGTCACCGTCACCGAATCCTAGAAAAGCTTTTTTTGAGGTTTATAGCTTTAAGAAGATATGAGTTGCTATTAGCTCCATCCTTTGTTGTCGTCCTAAGATAAAGAACATGGTTACATATGATAGCAAAGTATTATGGCTGAAACAGCGTTTTCGAAGTAGAAACTGAACACCACAATGATGCCGTGATATTTGCAAAACTTGATCTCAGACCAGACCTTACCACGGGAATCCTTTCCGGTTCGATCTGGCCCGAGATCCAAGTTTTGTAGGTATCTCAGCATCATTGCGGTTGTATTTCACATACTACCCTGACGTGAGAAAAATAGTGGCCAATAGATTGAATTTACACATTGTAAATTGAGCACCGTTTCTTAATCGCTAGAAACGTAAAACGATTCATTTTAAACCGGAAAGCACTACTACAAGAATAAAAATGAACAAGGATGAGCAATCATGATTGGTATTTGGCGAGCAAACTCTTTCTTACTACTAGAAAACGAGATATTTTTCCCTTAATGTGTATAAAAGGTTTTATCATTAAAATTTACCTATGATGAGGTGTGGAAATATCTTTCAGAAGCACATGGAAATGTTGGGGAAATGGTTGAATCAAGTGGAGAAGTGGGAAAGTCTGAGCCCTCTTGGTAAATCCGGAAGGTGGTTCACGCTTTCCTTAGTATTTGGTGTTGTGTCTTCTTGAAATCGTTAACCATGCCCATTAAATGATATAGTGGTTTGACACGTAAGATATGAACTCCGCAATCAAAAAACTATGACTGCGATTCGTTCTCTATAGCCACCATGTGTGTTTTTTGAATTGAGTTTTTTTCCAAGCACTGACTAATCGGCCACGTATTTGTATGTCTTCCATTTCAAAAGTGACGTCACCCAGACATTGTCCACACCTGATGAGAAGTCTACCCTACTCAGGTAGATAAGCTTAGCATATGGGATTAGTTCATGTCTGCCTGTGAAACATTCGTCCCTTCGTTTCTATTTGGTGATTTTTACGTTATTCATTCCAAAAAGCATCAAGAATCCTTTCAGCCTTCTCCAGACCTCATTGTGACAGGATATGTTCCTGATTTCTAATTCAAGTGCTTTTAGAGATTCGTGACATAATAGAAGATTGGCAAGAGGTTCGATGATATCGATGAGTCCGTTAGGTAGATTTCCAAGATTAAATGGTGGTTGCGGAGTTAGATAACATGCCGATTTTTACACTGCATGAAGTTCTGCTGTGATCGTTTCGCCAGCAGTGAAGACCTTCCACCACATGTTTCTGGCTGCCGAAAACTGAAACGCCATTATAACCATCTTTCAGAGTAAAATAAGCTTTGCATAATACTTAGAAACTATCCTGGTTCAGTTATTGAATGGAATGTTGTCGGCTGTCGCATAGGTTCCAGTTTCCATCGTGCTTCACAAGCGATGGAGAAGTGGGTCGTCTTTGTTTTGTAAAGGAAGCACACCATAGCCATGGCAACGATCTCGCTGCCATCCGTCTAGTTCATGCGGAACTCTCTCATCGAGATTTCACCTCTCCAGTGTCTTCAAATATATCAAGTAGTTTTTCGATGGTCAGCTTCGATAACTAGCATCGGATTGTCGTCGACAAATTCTGATGACCATCCACGAGCTCCTCTGTCACGAAGACTCACTCTCTAATACGAGACTTTAAGAATGCATTATGCATTCTGTAAATCAACCTTGGCCCGTGATTTGACAACATAGTTACAGTTGATAAAGAAAGTGAGCATCTCGACTTTACCAAGCATCGTTTGGAGGTGATCGAATGCTTATCTGGCTCTTACAATGACTCGCGGTGGCCTACCGATGTATAGAGCCAGTGCAGCTATCCTCCCAGACGAGTCATACCAATTTGCCGACCTCGGAGTGATGAAAGACTTGGTGGGTCAGGGGCGCGATGATTGATCCCATGTGTATTGCAGGGCGCCCCCGACCACTGCGCTACGCGCGCCCCTGTAATAAAAGCCAATATGTATCGCAAAAAACAAAAAAAAAGGAAAAAATGTATATCTCGAGATTATCACAAATCTATTAACGATAGAGCGGCTATTCTTTTGTTATCACCCGTAATAAGAGTGTAGCGCGGAGATAAACACTGTTGCCCAGCCCCACCAAATCTTCCATCCCTCCGGGGTCGGCAAATTGCTACCAGACTGTCTGAGAGGATAGCAGCCTTGGCACTGCAAGCCATTGTACAGGCCAAACATGTATTCAACCATCTCTATCATGCCATAAATGGAGTCGAATTAATGGCGCATCCCACAGGGAATGATCAATGCCAAACGCTTTATCTACCCTATCCATTAACGTGCACCAAGGAAAGGTAGATTCCTTGAATCTAAAGTGATCTATGGTTCGCTTTTGGTCTGTATACAACCTTCTCTTCATGAATTGGAGTCCTTCTAAATAGCCGGCTAGAGATTTCTTACAATAGGCAAGTATGAGAATACAATACGTACACGTTTCATACAGTATACCAAGCAAGCAAGTCCCATGGTCCTGAATACCGACCATGTTTTGTAACGGAAACCATATTTGCCTTTACAGCGACAAAGGTAAGTTTCTTCAACAGATTTTTCGATTTTGGAATTTCTCAAATATCCTAGAGCGCGTGTGGTGCAGTGGTCGGAAGGGCCCTGCAATACATACGGGATCGATCCCCGCGCCCACGGCTCACCAAGTCTTCCATCCCTCCGGAGTGGGCAAATTGTTACCAGACCTGTCTGGGAGGATAGCAGCGCCGGCTCGATACATCGGTAGGCCACCGCGAGTCATTGTAAAGGCCAGCTATCCATTCAATCATCTCCAACGATGCTTAATGAAGTCGAAAGCATGACGCATCCTTCACGGATTGGTCACCGCCGAGAGCTTTATCCTTTTTACTCCTTTATACCCTATCTATCGATTAGCGTGCTCGGCCGCCAATGCCAGCACGAATACCAACTCAATTCGAACTATGCAAGAAGTACTGCTACCGTTGTACGCGTTTTCTTCCAGAGCTGGTTGTGCTGGGCGGGTAATAGATGGCTACGGGCAGTTTCGATCTAGCTAATGTAAAAGCTCTGCTTTCATCCGGTAATCCTATCATACAAAGCAATGTAAGCGTTGCAAATTCTTAGTATTTTCTGAGAATTTCCAGGCTTTCTATGTTTCATTCTCGTTGTTTCTAGGGACTGACATGCCTACTATCTCGCCTGAGACTTCCGTTCCCCAATGCCAAGGAAAAAGTCTCGGCTTCTTCTCTATTTTTTGATGGATTCACTAAGTACGGAGATGCTGTAGCACAGTGGTGTGCAGATGCCACTCCATGTCTTCTCAGAGCAGGTCAGTCGTTTTCGTCCACCACAAAGATCAACACGAGGACCGAGGGCCTCGGTAGTGCTGTGTGTAATACGCGAGCCCCGAAGGGGTAATCGTGGTTCGATATGGCACCCTGTGCGAGTTTTGCGAATATCACAGCATCGTTGTGGTTGTAACACTAAGACCATTATTCGGGTTAGGGTTGAAGTACACAGCTATAACTGTTCTCCATTTGTAAGGTATTAAATTAATATGCTAAAAGTAGGGTGTGGATTCTACGGCGATCTGTTTTTGGGATATCCAAATTCATGTGCTCTACAAAGGCTGCTCTTTCACATGGCCAAACCTCCGAGTCACGTGGCAATACACAGGGGATCGGTTCCTGCTCCCTAGGCTCACCAATCCTTCCATCCCTCCGGAGTCGGCAGATTAGCACCAAACTTGTCTGGGAGGATTGCCGCACTGGCTCGATACATCGTTAGGCCACCGCGAGTCATTGTAAAGGCCAGATATGCATTCATCACCTCCAGCGATGCTTAATGAAGACGAATGCGTGGCTGATCCCTCAGGGAATGATCAGCGCCGAGAGCTCTGTCCCTTTTTAAACCTCTGTAATTCAGATGTCATAACAATTGAAGATGTGAATACCCAGTGCTTCATAAAACTGTGCAATAGTGGGACGAGAAGAACGTCTCGAATTATTCTGATTCGGCTTTTACTCCAGTTATCTCAGTGTTTACCCAGGTAGGCTCACCTGTACTGACTGTATTTTGTTAAGGCAGGCGAGCGAAGGACCACATGGTGTGGTGGTGAACGCGCTAGCCTCCACGAAAAGGTTATAGCGTCTTCGTTCCCTACCGCAGACCCCTATAGTCCGGAGTTTCGCTGATGCCTGAGCGTTATTATGGTTGTATTTTGTTCGTTGTTCCTTAGTGGTTTATATTTTAGCACGTGCCTTGAAATAGTTCGCAAATGTACAGAGTGTTCTGATCTAGTCGTTTCGGAGCTTACTTCGCAAGACTTTGACAAGTTCGTTTCCATGTGCTAAATCCTTTCGACATCCGTTTTCTCTCAAGCATTCCAGTTCCCAAGTCTTATATCTAAGCACTTTCCATTTACGAAAATTCTTCATTTAGTATTTTAGGTGCTTCCCTGCGCTAAAAATCCTTTTAGTAAGTAGAATACTATCAGAGGAGCTAGATATTAATATTCTGCATCATATTCACATCAAGGCTGACTCCGATGATTTACATATCGGACAGCTTCTGGAGTATCTTCCTTGGAAGTTCTCACGACATTTTATAACAAAGTTTAAGTTCAGGCACGTAGTGGCTAATCTGTTGAGCCATTGTGCAGGTGTGTTTCTTTCCAGAGGGGGTTCTTACGAAGATTAAAGATAAAACTGGAAGTGAGTCTCACAGTCAGACGTTTTTCAGAACTCTCTCATCGCGAATTACAGTCTCTGGAGGTTTCAAATGAAGACGTGTTTCTCATCGCAGATAACGTACTAGTGAATCCACTTCTTGTGATGAATGAGTTGTTCCCTGCATGTCACGTCCTACTTCCTGCACTACTTTCTCTCTATTCAAGTAGGTCAGTTTGTGGGCATTCCTTCATTCATTTCAGTTAATTCATTTGTAATTTGGCAAACAATGGAACTTCCCACTTTGTTCCTTTCAACTATTAGTTCCGAATAAATATAATTCTGAGTAGGACCGAACGTAGTGGCTGTGTGAAAGTGTAGAACTTTCAGGTCCGAACTAGCTAAATCGTTCCCAAGTCTTATTCCAAGTGAGCAGTTATCAAAGGTATGAGTACTAGTACCAAATCTGGGAATTTCAGTAGAAGATTTTCTTTTTGTAAATTTTGGCTTCGATATGAAGATACAAGATATAGAGATACAGATATTTACTTACTTGGATACTTGGATGGCCCTTTTTTCACTGGTTGTTTGGGTCTCGGCAAAATTTCCACTTTTTCGAAGTTTTGCTCTTTTAGCCATTCTGTATACCTGGAGTCCCGAGGTCAGCCTAACCAAGGTCTGCCCATGTCGTCACCACCACAGGCGGTATCCTCTCTTGTGGATCAGAGGGAGATTTGCCACTGTGGTACTAGTTTATTACTAGGACGGTGGTGGATCCTGGTATTGGTTTACTCTTAGATGAATTTCCTGATCGAAACGTGGGACTCCTCAGCATGGAACACCCTGTTGACGGGATGAATCCCCAGTTGTACATCTCAGCCCGACATCCAAGAACATCTCCCAGCCACGACAAAGCGCTAAACCGTTGAGAAGTCTTAGGTAGTATAGTGGTTAGTAGAGTAGCCGTGTTCGTCTATACATACTATGAATGCAGAATGCGTTAGAATAGCGTAGTGAAAGTTGGGCTTTTAAAACTTTGTTCTTTATTTGGCTGTTTTGTTTACGCATTCCTACCACTCTTTTTTCCTTTCAGATCAAGGCTATAACTGCACATTGTCAAAAAGTTAGACCGCTTAAAATCGTAGCTCTGCGAGATCATTGCTCTGGGTGTATGTCCACGTTCACTTACTTTGAATATGTTTCCAACGCTTCCAGCATTACTACGTTTACAGATTTATGGCTTTCGAACTTGGATTTTATGGTTTGTTCGTTGGTTTTTCTTTCAGCATTCATTTTCTCACATGTTTCCCATTTCTTGGAACGTTTCTTTTTTGCAGGAAGTTTCTTGGAGTTCAGTTACTTTTGCAACTGCCCTTCTACCTTATTGCGAATTTTCTTTTAAAAAATGTTCTACTCTTCTAATTGGTCTTCTTAATCGTTCACCTGAACATGTGAGAAGTTCTCATCGTTTTCGCTGCATTTTCCTTTCGTTTTAAATGTTTGTGTACCTTTAGGTCAATAGTATCTTTCTATTCCTCACTTCGCTCTACGCGAAACCTTTTTTTCAAGTGGACAGACCAACAATTCTACATTTTATGCGTGGTCTTTTAGTGCATAAGGTATGTCTCATTGTAGGCTACATTATGTGATTTCCCAACGGTTTACCGCCTCATGGTTGGGAAGTGTTTCTCGGTGCAGGTCTACGATGTACAGTGGCTGGTTCATCCCTCTGGCGGAGTCTTCAAAGGTGAGAAGTGCGGCGTTTCCATCTCAAAACCCAGCTAAGAGTAAACGAATGCCACTATCCACCACCGTCGTGGTATCAAACTAGTCGCATGGTGGCAAATCTGCCTCTGATCCACAGTGGCGGCGGTTGCCTGTGGTGGTGGCCACCTGAAGCAGACTTTGGCCAGGCTAACCTCAGGACTCCAAGGACCGACAATGGCCTAACCAGCAAAAGTCCGAGGAAATGGAAATTATGCTGGGGCTCGCGCAGCCAGTGAAGACGAGCTATCCAAGTACCAAGGACAAAGTCTAGTATGTTTACATATCCTTTTTGCTTCAGTTCATTGTGACACCAGCAATAAATTTTCTGTCTATTGTGTGCCGTCAGCATGGTGAGGAACGTGATATTGCGTTCAGTCTTATCCAGGATTTAGTGACTAAGTAAGTGTCAGTTCTCCACTGTACTTTGATTTTACCGGTTTTTTTTTGAAATTGTAAAAATTTTCAGGTTTCCTACAACATTTGATGCTGTGAAAAACCTTGCTATTCCTGGAGAGTCAGACTGCCTTGATTTGCTAAAAGTGAAGTTAAGGCTTATGTCAACACTCTGTGTCTCAACGTTTGTATTCATCGTTATTAGTGCATATTTCTTCCAAGATTTTCAATCTTGGTTCTACTTAAAAGGGTTATTACTACCGTAATATTTGATGAGATTTAGCGATCGATCTGACGAACTTCTTCCATCACTTACAAGGCTTTTGAAAAAGAGCGCTGAAGTGGTCGGTGCTGCTGTGTCCGTTGTCATCATACTTTGTAAAGAAGAGGTGAGAACAGTTTGAAACCTTTCTTCTCATTTTGTTTGTTTTTGAACCGATTTCTACTTTCAAAGGAACTTACTATCAACCTAAAATCAAAAAGCTTAACTATTTGAAGTCTGCTTTTTGTCCAACGAATGCGACCTGTTTACTAGTCGCTTCTTGACGTTCCATAAAAAAATGGGTCGCAGACGACAATCGATAACGTTTAGCGCTGTGGATAAACAGAAATTAACTCTGCAAACATTTCTTAAAGCGTAAAGCCGAAGTTATATCACAGGGAGGTTTTGATTACTGTTTTTATTGGTTTGTCTGTGGTATCATCCACTAAGACGTTCTAGATCCTGGAGAAGCGACGAGAGACGAGAGGCACTGTCATAAAGTCAATGAAATGCGTCAAGGGTTAGGGAGTGTTCATGCTATTGCAAAATATTCCATCCTTTTGCGCGGTAGTGGGCCATCATGCATTGCACGGTTAGCGCTGCGGTTGTTGAATGAGTGGGTCTATAAAACTTTGCCTTATCCACCGTGCTCATCAGGGCTCTTGTCCAGCAACTACCACGTTTGCAAGAGCCCTCTATAACTAAATTCTTCAATAACCAAAGCTGTGCTGAAAATGATTTCAAAAATTTTGTCGCTTTCCAACTTTCAGAACTTTACGTTATCACAACAATTAAACTTGAATTTTTTTGGAAAAGGAAAAGGGTGTAGGTTATAGTTGTTCTTATATCGATTAATGAGGTTGTGCTCGACCCTAGTTACAGAGATTCGAAATTCTCGATCCAATATTGTTATACCGTTATTGTTTTTGTATCATACTAATACAAGTTCTTTATGACATATATCCTCCCATGTTTCTGCAACATTTCCTTCTCTTGCGTGTGGTGAAAAAATACACCGCAATGCCGTCGGCTTTAGGTTGTCGCTTTCACAATTTATGTTGGATTTACTTAGACATTTTTAAATAGCTTTGGTTTCTATACATATGCAGGTATGATAAGGTTGGGAAGCTCTAATATATAATAGCGCACTCTATGTTCCTCCGTCGGAATATCGTGGTGTCCTCCTCATTAGGAACATTCTTTTCTAGAAGATGTGTCAACGCTATCCTAGCAACAATCTCACCGTTTCGCGAACCAATACATTCGGAAACAGACTTTTGTGAACTTTGATTCGTGCATAATATCTTTTTCCCTTTCGTAACATCTGTAGCGATGAAGCTAGAAATCGAGTACAAAAGGTTTAGCAAAAACTGCAACAAAGAAACCACTGAGAATGAAATACATTAGTAGCAATGCATTTTGTCCAGTCTCCACCTATGCAGTGAAAGAAATGCATATCGTCGCTAATATTTTAAATTTGTTTAGTATTCCGTTCTTGCATTTTTCTTTCTTTTTCACTTCCATTTTTATCGTCTTTTATTCTAGATTCTTGATATAAACAGCGTTCGGAAACAACTGAGTGTCATGGTTCGGCAGCCAGGATTTGAAGTGGCTCTCATGGGATATTGCGAGATTCTTGCAGTAGCTGCGCAGTCCGGGAAATGTGATGATGTAAGCATTTCGAATTTTTTTTGTCTCTGAATCACCATTTGTCGATGTTTGGATTTCTTTTTTAAGTTTCCGATTTTTTCCAACGAACTTACCTATTTACCCAGTAACTGGGATGAAAATTTCTGCCGTACCATATTATTTATTTTAGAACTGAGCATTGCAGAATATTTCTGTGGAGTATGTGCAAGAGTTATGGGAAATCACACAACTTCGAAAGGGCACTTCGGATGGCGAAGACGCACGACGACGGGCCTGGACTGCACTTGGTTAGAATGATTGTGCTTTGTTTTTGACATACATTATCACGAAAAGGAACATTTCAGTTCAATCCGATTCCAGTTATCACTCAAGAACAAAAAATGAGCGAAAATTTTCACCCATTGGCCGTGATCATATTGATCGACAATGTACCAATAGCTGACAACAGTTTTCATTCATTTCTTTCGTGTTGCGGATTTGTCATGGTATTCTCTCGCTATATGCCTTAGATGAGCCTCACATTTTTCTTCCGAAATCTTCTGACAGACGTCCGACCATCTGGATCAGTGGTCTTCTTGCTTTACGTTTGTTATCCCCTGGAATCTAGCGGGTGCTGTTTAGCTGTTATCGTTAAGACGCATCAAATGTCGGTTCCACCTCATTTTTGACACTTCAGCTTAAGCGTCGTCGGAAGGTCTTTGACTTGGGTGATTCTAAAAATCCCTAACTTCGCTTCATAGCGTGTTCAATGAAGTTAAGTGATCTTTCTTCTTGTTTACGTAGTCTTTAGATATTCAAGGCATCTGTTTAATCAACCAAACATTTAAGAGTAGTAGAATCGAAAAGGTGGTCATGGAGCCAGGTATTTTTTTGTCTTCTTCATCCATTCTCAACTCGCTTTTGGGTTTCTTCAGCCAGTCGTTGACTTTTGTTCAGCTGTGGAATTAAGCCATTCGTCGTATTGACTTCCCACTTCAATACATATAACTGTGGCATTCAAAAATATTTGTTTCGTTGAGTTTAGAGGATCTTTGGCATAAGTTCCATAAACTTTCAATGAGGTGATATCGTTTTGTCGAGCCTCTTTATGGCGAAAATAATGTCGTTCTTGAGGAGTGGAATTGATTTTGATGTATCTGTGTGGCTCACCAAAGGTTTTTGTGTAACAGGCAGCGATGGATTTCTTGAACAGGACTATCATAACGGTTTATGTTCATTTCACTCAAAGTGCTCTTAAAAAATCAGTGTGAGTTAGACAATGGGGTCTGCTGTATTTCGCAGTATTTCGACGAGTTCCATCATTGTTTGGATATAATCCATTGGGTTGAACCTTTTTTTCAATACATTCTCGCGAACTTGTACTGCTTCTAGTGTTCTGTCGATTCGTTTGAGGATGATTTTGATGAAGGGCTAAAAGACAGTATATGTTAAGCGAAAGTTCTTCATATTGCGCAAGTTTTCTGAACTGAGAGTTAACGTTAACAGTTGATGAGAACGTTAAATACAAATTCTCATATTTCGATGTTAAGAGAGAATTGGTGCATTAGGTGCAAGAAGATATGAGAGTTGTCGCCGTAAAGAGATATTGCAACGTAAGGGATTAGGAAGCTTGTTTAACAACAAGCAGTGACGAACACCTTAGATGTTGCTTGAGGATTTTGCCTTTTCTACGAATGTGTTTCAACCGTAACGGTCCAATTCCGATGGCTAATTGTTCAAAAGAATCGATATTCAGAGTCGAACTCGTATTAAACGAAGACAACAGTGACGCACGCTCCTACTATTGCTTACGCCGAGGATCGGGTCCCGATATCATAAGCGGTGGTTAAGTAGAGGAAGTATTTACTCGCCTAATGAGTGCAGTGCTGTCATGTTTAATTTTATCCACTCTAATCACCAAGTGGCTGGTATGATCTCCTCAATAACCATTCTCAGATGCTTTATTTTCTTCACCCAAAACTTTTTTACCACAATTTTTGCAACTAATTAATGCCTTGTCGAAATGGGAGCAGTATGGAGGGCGTCGAACCAGAAAAGTCACTTTCTATGCTTAATAATTTGCAGAAAACATTTTTTTGAAAAGTTAATTCACCGTAAATTTACCTATTAACTGACTGTTATTTTTTTAACCACTACGATAAAACAGAGATTGTATGGAATGTACGGAATCTCTATAGCTCTCAAACCTCCCAACAGTTTACCGCCTCATCGTGGCTGGAACGTATACCTGGACGTTGGACTTCGATTTACAGCGGGGGTGTTCATCTTCTTGGCAGAGTCCGGCATTTCCAACAGGAAGCTCAACTAAGATTAAACCAATACCAGAATTCACCACCGTCCTGGTATTGAACTAGTCGTATGGTGGCAAATCTCTCTCTGATCCAGAAACAGGGCGACTTCCTGTGGTGGTGACGATCTAGGGTAGGCGTTGGCTAGGCTGACCTCGGGACTCCAAGGTTCCACAATCGCTAAACCAAGAAAACTCCGAAAAAAATGGAAATTTTGCCGAGGCCCACACAGCCAGTGAAGAAGAGGCATCCAAGTATCCATGTAAGCATGGTTCTCCAAACGACTGCAAGCCACTCAGTTCAATGTTGGAAAAATCTGGATGGTGAAAACGTGTTACGATATCCCTGTTTCCTAAATGACTGATAATATGGGATGAATTCACCGCATATTGTTTTGATTGATGAAAATGTCAGCAATCTTAACTCTTTTTATTTACTGCCTTTTTCCTTCTTAATGGCAGGGTATGTTGCGAAATATAACTCGTATGAAATGCTGAGATATTTGCAAAACTCCGGACCACAGGTGTATGCAATGGAGAACAAACACGCGCTGTTGTCCTTACCGGGGAGCAGCGCACTTCACCACTACACCATCCGGGTCCTTTGCTTTGCATGTCTCTCAGCTAGTTCTATCGATCTTTTTGCCATCAGCAATCACCCCGTAGGTGAAAATGTCAGCGTCAACAGCGAAGTGCACTGTGGCGAAGCTGTCAAGGAAGAGGTTCTTTTTTGGTAACAGAAGAGCCGTTGTATGATCTCTATACTACGATGGGCTTCTGTCCACACAGCAAAAACAATGGTCGTATATATGGAGGCCAATTTCCCATGAGGCTTTACGAAGTACAAGTTATTTCTTAAAATTCTAGAAGTAAATCGGCTAAATCTAGCATTTGGGGATGCACGGAATAGAAAAAACGTTGATTGGAGCCATGAGCGCCATGAACCCACCCAGATGTGGTAGGTAGGAGATTGATGGCGGTTACCTGCGACGCACCATAGAATCCGCGATGTTCCAAAATGTCGGATAATGGCAAATCTGAGAAATGCCATTTCAACCTGTTTGATTTTTTACTGATTTGAAACGATAAGAAATCTCACAAGTAGCCTCTTGGAGGCGACTCCTGAGCACTTCGTGTGCACTTTCCAACCACTTAATTGTAGGGTTTTAACCAAATTAACACGCAGGGTAGACACCACTTATGTCAGTTGATGAGCACACCCGTACATGAACTGTATACAAGCTTGGATATATTCTGTTTGCAGACACGACGCATAAGGAAATCCGGCACAATAGTGATAAGGAATCTATCCTTTGAATCTACCTGTGTCAGAGAAAGTACAAACAAGGTGGCATTGGCTTCAAGTTTCACGCCGTCCGTTATTTTTATGGGTGAGGAACGTAAACCCCGTGGATAATCTGTTAGTGATATCCTAGTCAGCGATGTAAAAAGAAATAATATAAAGCGTTTGACATATTTTCAAGAACAATTTTCAATTTCTTTTTTTCATGCTGAAAGTTTTCATTCTAGACGTACTTGAAATTAGAGAACGAAGCTAAGGCTGCAACTTTTGGCGTCTGTCAATCCCTATGTTATTCGGCATGCATATTAGGTCTATATAATGACTTGCGTTGGCAATGACACAAGTTTATCGAGCCAGTGTTTCTATGATAACCAAAAAGTCTGGTGCCGATTTGCAGACTCTGACAAGATGGAAGATTTGCTGAACCCGTGGTGCGAGATCGAACCAACAGTGAATCCTATCTGTGTTACAGTGCACTTCGAGCTAATGCACTACACGCGCCCTAGTCAAGATTATTCTTGAAGAAACTTCCTGTATTTTCTTTACTTTCCTTCCGTATTGACATATGGCGTGTGAAGTGTTTAGAAGTTATGAAAAAGTGTGGAAAATACAAATGTATGGAGAAGGCAATTCGTTGCCGCAATACTTTTTCGTGCATTGATTTTCTGATTGAGATATAGGTTTTCATAAATGTTCCATGGACTATGTGTTAGCGAATTTTCCCATTTCAGGATCTTTTGACTTCGATTTATTGAAAAGCGCAATCCCTATATCCGGACGTCACCTTGTCGGTCAATTTTTGGGATTGCGTCAGACTGAAAGGAAAGGTATTTAGTTGACGTAGTAATATTTTTTTTCAATGATGTTGGCTGCAGTATTCCAAGTATAACGTACTTTGTTCTAGGAGAAATTTTTGCTCTTCTTAGCCATCTCAAACCTGAAAGCTGCAGTGATCTGATATTTTTTTTCTTTTTAAATTTCTCATCATTCTCAGTTCTTTTGAAACTGACTTCAGAATCCAATCGGCAGTGTAATCTGCTTTTCCTATGTTTTGTCAACTACGCGAAACATTCGGTAACGTCGAAGAGAAAGCCATCCCATATACATCCAGGGTGTTTCAAACTGGGTTCTTCTACATTAAAACTTTATCTGACAGCTAAAAAGGCGTAGATATAATTGGAAACTTGGGAGACCCATCTTCAAATGTTGCGTACAACATTGCACTCGTTCTATGCCTTTAGTTCTCTTGCAGCTTTCATCGGTGGAGCTGGTTGTTTCAGCACATGTGTTGCCCTGCTGCTTGAGACCTTTCCTTTTTTCATCAGATTTCAGTACCTGGGTGGAAAGCTGTATGATCTTTGCACCCCAAGATTACAATTAGCAAGCGTTCTTTTTAGATTGCGTATAGACGTTGTCCAGCTAACACAGAATGACGTTGTTCTGTACACTATCGATTGCTTTTTAGTCGTCAAGATTTCAACACATGGTTTTACCGGGAACCTTTCCAAAGTTCAACCACTTAATTGCAACATGGTCTTCTTCGGAAAGAAACGTTTCTTGTTTGTTAATGGAGGAGAGTGTGACCTGGTGGAAATGTTTTGAATAAGAAAAGATTTGTATAAATCATCTCCCTTGTTCCCATTTCACGGCGTCTTCGATCGCTTTTGGACAATATTCAATCAGTATTCAACGTACCGTGAGGTGAAAGATCGTCTCATATCGTTAAGCCATGGCCAAAGCAATACTCGAACTCGATTACCTCCATAGATGATCGTTGTGAAGAGGAATAGTCGAAGTACCGAGATTTGCACTGCATGTGAAAGCGAACCATCTACGTTTCTAAACAAATAAGTAAAATTTGACAACAAAAATTTATTCCCATGACAGACTTTCTGTTAACCTCGGAATTGATCAAATAATTCTCCGTATTCTTGTTGAGCAATCACGAGATGTTACTTCATTCCTTATTCCGTTTAAGTTTATGGTTTAAGTTAAAAGTTATTTTTTAAAAAATCTGCCATTTTCACATCGCGCGTTCGTGCATTTTTTAATGAACAAGTTAATAGCTAAAAAGATACTTCGTTTAGAGTCATCATATTAATAATATTTCTTTAGGATTCGCAATTTTTCTGCATAAAATAGTTTCCGCCGAAGTAGAGTCACTCTCTCGTTCTCTATACACTAAATCCCATATCCATAAAACGTTACTCGCACCCCTCGTATGTAATCTTCATAATTCTCTTGGCGGAACAAATCAAGAGGTGACATTTAGCTTCCTTAAAATTTTCGTCCTATTATTTAAGGTCGAGATTCCAGGCGCCTTGGTTTTGGTTGGCAACCCTACCGCTCTTTTCGGTAATCGTCAACGAATATTCCGAAAGTGAAATGAAACTGAAGTCTTTTAAACTTCTCCGTCGACTATTACGTGAAGCCAGTAGTTTTTTTTTTATTTAGTGTAAAGTACTCTTATTCTTTTCCTTCAGGAAAATCTTTAGTAAATTATTTCTACAGGTTCCTTTAGTTGAAAACAAGTTAGTGAATTTATTCGCGGGTTGGAGGATTTGCATTTCAACATTTCTCAATATGGAGACCAAAGGCGACGATCTCCTAAGGTACAATTTCAGTAATGCACACCTTTAGGATGGAACTGTACACAAATAGCTTTCTATCGATCAGCGCTATGTGACAACTAGCTGAGAGACAGGCCAAACTAAAAACCCGCATGGTATGGTGGTGAACACATTAGCAACCGAAAGGCTAGCGCGTTGCCCTCTCCCCACCGTAGACACCTACGATCCGGTGCTTTGCAAATATCTCAGCTTCATTGTGGTTGTGTCACACCTAGTACCCTGTCAAGAAAAATTGTAATTTCCAGTAAATAAAAACTTAACACTGTACACAAATACTCTTACAAACTGCAACATTCAGAGGTTACTGAATGTTCCGAAAGTAACTTACTACAGAGTCTTTGGAGTTTTTCGTGATTAATTTGTCGCAAATAATTTGTTGGGAGTTCTGATCATGAGCACATATAGTCTTCAAATTTATAATTTGTGTTTTCCTTAACTAACAGTTCAACGCATTTGATCCTTATTGATAATGAAAATAGTGTATGTGTAAGTTTTACCCCGTTATCTTCTCACAGCATGGTATTATGTCAAATACAACCAAAATAATGCTGAGAAATTTGCGAAACTCAAAGCGCAGGCCAAATCGAACCGCTATTGCTCTTTCCGTGGGCTCACGTGCTACCATAAGGCACCCCTGATTCCCTCGTTATGCCTTCCTCTCGGCCAGTTATTTTACCCTAGCTGTGCCATCAGCAATCACTATAGTGTATCACTTGTAGTCAAGTTGATCGTCGAGTGACTCAAGCGGGCGTCAGTAAATCTTCCATTTTTCCCTGTTGTGTGCAAAAGTAGTTCAGTGGGTTCTCCTCGCTCTAGAGACTCGTCGAGCATAATATCTTTCTTCTAGGCTCTTCGTGAAGAACTCTGACCATCGGGCTCCTGCAGTACGTTTGACATCTCGAGGAACCCAGTCACTAACGGCTCTTGTCCATCGGTTGTCATTCATACGCATTACGTGTCCAGCCCACCTTATCTTCGACTGTTTGGCGTACTGAACGGGATTTTTGACTTCTGATCGTTGACGCAGATCGGAGCGTCGTCGGATACCATCCCTTACTTGTGTGGAACGGGATACTCCTAGCATCGTCCTTCGATGCGCGTTCGATAACGCTGAGTGACCTTTCATCTTGCTTACGCAACGACCGGGTTTCTGACGCATACGTTAGAGCAAGAAATACTGTTGAGTCGAAAAGGTGGACACGGAGTAGGGTGCTCTTTGTTCTCTTCACCACATCCTCGATGGTCTTGAAAGCTCCCCACGCCGCTCGCTTTCTTCTGCTCAGCTCTGGAGCTTGGTCGTTCATCATATTGATTTCCCTACCTAGATGGACATAACTGGAGCATTTGGAGATATTCGTTCCGTTGAGCGTGAATGAAGCGTACGAAATCACTCCGTTCCTCATGAACATCGTTTTTGTGAGATTTATTCGAAGGCCAATCTTTCCACAGATTCTACTACAGTTGGCAAGCAAACGTTCCGCTTGGCTAATGTTCGGTGTTATAATGACGATGTCGTCAGCAAAGCGAAGATAGTGTAACTGTCGACTGTCGATTTTCACTCCCATGTTATGCCATTCCCAGGTTCGCATGACGTTCTGGAGGGTGGCGGTAAATAATTTTGGCGAGATGGTATCGCCTTGCCTAACTCCTCTTTTGACGTCAATGTTGATGTCGTTGTAGAATGGTGATACCTCGGTTGTGAAATTTTTGTACAGATCACGAAGAATCTTTATATACTGAGTAGAGACTCTTTGACTATCAAGGGCTTCCAAGACTGCTTCTATTTCAACTGAATTAATGGCCTGTAAATCGATGAAAGTGAGACAGAGCGGTCGTTTGTACTTCATACTTCAATGAACCATGTTACCGTGTGGATGTGGTCCATGTACTAAATCCTTTTCGAAATCCTGCTTGCTCACGTAGCTGTCCTTCGTCTAGTGTTCTGTCGGTGCTGTTTATGATGACTCGAGTGAAATGTTTGTAGACGACAGACCGTAAGCAGATTGGGTGATAGTTGCCGATATCGTGTAGGTCACCATTCTTGAACAGTAACACGGTCTTGCTGGTCTGCCACTGAGTAGGGACCTTGCATTCAGACAGGTAACGTGTGAAGAGCCGAGCAAGTGTGTTAACGAGGACTGGCGGAAGGTTCTTCAGGTGCTCTCGTGTTATCCTGTCCGGACCTGGTGCTGTTCGATTTTTCACCGACGAAATGGTATGTCGCATTTCGGTAGGGAGAACCGGTGGTACAACATATCTATCCTTCTTTATTTCATACGGTGGAAGATGGACGTGTCTATTGAAGAGATCCGAGTAGTATTCGAGAATGATTTTCTCCATTGCCTTTCTGGATGCTGTAACTGTTCCGTTTGGGCGTCGGAGGGCAATCATTTTTGGTCTTGTAATTGGCGAAGCTTCGGTTGGCTTTGCGAATGCTTTTCCCAGCCTCTGCAGCTTCGGCCATTACTGTTGCTCTTCTCTCTTTAAGATCTTTTATCGCTTCTGCATTGCTTTGCAAGTTCGAATGTTAGTTCGCGGTTGCCTGCAGCTCGTGCGATTCCATGCTTGCCTACCAGCTCGAGTATTTCTGGCGAAAAACGTCTGTGACTTTCGAACTCTGAGCTTTCATAGCGCTAAAGTGAAGATGATGAATGAGCCGGTCATATTCTTCGTCGATGTTATCGATAAGGGCATCTTCTCAGAAACCGATTAATGAATAGAATAATTCCCAGTTTGTGATGGTTCCAGGATTTCGGTTTTTGAATTTATCGGCTTTCCTTCTTTCCGCGAGAAGTAGAATGTTGCACGAAGGAGACGGTGGTCTGATCCCGTGTAGGATTTTGGGACAACAGCGACATCAGTTAAGCAAAACCGATTTACTGTGATGTGGTCTATTTCGTTATGGTGCTCTCCATAGGGGACTCCCACGTCCAGCGTTGAGGGTGGGGCTTCTGGAATTGCTAGTTACCATGGATGATCTTGTTCGCCATAATAAACTCAGATAACCGCTCACCCTGTTCGTTTCATTCTAATACATGAGTCCCAACGTGACGTTCTTCTTGGTCCAATCTTGGCGTTGAAATCTCCAATGGTGACCTTGAAGAATGTATGGTCTTCCTTGTAGAACTTCTCTATGTCCATATAGAACGCTCTGACTTCTTCTTCGTCATAGTTTGATGTTGGCGCGTAAACGTCGAAGATCGTCAAAGCCGGAATTGATCCACGTCTTTCTAATTGTATACGTCCGATTCGGGTTGTAAGTTGTTCGAGTGAATCGATGTTCATGGACAAACTCGTGTTGACGGAATGCCGACGCCGCCAAGTCCTCTACTGTCGCATGTACCGAGGAACAGTTCTTCTCCGGTGTCATAGACGGCGTTGAATGAGTGGCGTTGTCTCGTCTCGGACAGGCCGATGACATCGTACCTTAACCTTCTTGCTTGCATGAGCAAGTCTTCTATCGAGGACTCGTATGCAAGTGTACGTGCATTGTAGGTACAGATCGTCACTATAGTTCTTTGAAATCCAGGCAGCTTCCTGAGATTTTAGCAGCCTCTCCGTACTTGTCCTACTCAACGCTGCGAAATTGGACGCTCTTTCAAGGACACAGGAATGAGGCTCGATTTTTTTTTTACTGCGTTTAGCACTCTTGATACCCATGTATAGCTTGCTGGGCTCTATACGTGGGGGGTGGGTATACTCACGAGTACCTTGCCAGGCTCTTCCAGAGTGGATATGGAGCTTATTTGTAGGAGGCGATTCCTTACCACCTCCCATATACTTCCCAGTCACTTGATTGCAGGTTTTTGACCGAATTGACTCGTAGAATACAATGCGCATAAGCAAAAACGTACCCACACACGCTTGCATGAATAGGTATGCCTAGCAAATACACAAAGTATCTGCCAAATCAGCGCAACAGAAACAGTGAGTCCATTCCCTGGATCCATCTGCGTCTCAGGGAAGCAAAATTCGCTTTTGGTCCCCGATTAATCCCCTAACCGCCACCTGGGGACGCGCCACGTAGCCTCGCGACTAACCGGCTCGATCCTTCATATGAGCGAGGTCCGTGGCACCATATTGTATAGTTTTAAATTGATTTTTTAGATGTCGAGATAAAATAATTGAGGAGTGCAAACGGTCTCTTAAAGAGAATGAACTAGCTGTTAACAACGTCGTCGTTGTGATTGCTGTGTTAGCTGGAGAAATGCTGAGAGGTCGAACTGAGGTATGACCAGTATGATTTTCATGCATGTCATTGTGCTTATTTATTCGTATGGAGCGTCACTTTTCTGAGTCAACAATTCGATGAAATTTGGAAAAAAGTGGTGCTTGAGTAGTCACTAGTTGATACTCTCGTGAAGCCCCCTAATGTCTGGTTTCTTGAGAACTGAACGAGGGTTAATCTTAAACCTTTATGGATTTACTGGCTTTTCGAAAACAAGTGATAATTTTTCGATAATTAAAGAAATTCGTGGGTTGTGAACATGAATAGATTGTAGAAAATACTTTACCTTCGAGCGCATGTAGCGCAGTGGTCGGAGGCGCCATGCAATACATATGGAATCGATCCCTGTTCCCCAGGCTCCCCAAACCCTTCAACCCTTCAGAGTCGGCAAATTGCTACCAAACTTGTCTAAGAGGGTAGCAGCACTGGCTCGATACAGTGGTAGGCCACAGCGAGTCTGTGTATATACCAGATATGCATTAAGTCACCTCCAACATTGCTTAGTGAAGTTGAATGCTTGGCGTATCCCTCAGACGCCAAGTGCTTCATCCTTTTATTATACTTTACCCTATCACTCCTTGGGTATGAATGCTATTTACTATATGTTACTATGTTCCATCGTACAAACGCATTGCTATCAGCATTTGGAAGTGGTTTGCAAGATATGGGTCCCTATTTCACTTTTTTATACCCGCATAATCCATATGATAACTGTCGCTCACCATTGCAATTAGAATTGAAACAATAGTGGATTAGCACCCAAATTCTTGGTTTGTCAAATCGTTTGGGAAACGGTTTTTTGCATGTTTCTCTGCGCAGAATAGAGCTTTTCCCAAGGATCGCTTAATACGGCATCTTTGTTCTAAAAGCTATTAGTTCATAGCAAAAAGTTTTGAAAAGTGGTTCTATATATTGGAATACATCACTGTTAACAAAATGAGGCCTTTAGGTCTGTTACCAGCAAATTCCACAACACCGTTGTTACACTTGTACGTATCACTTGCCGCGAGGGTGGTAATTAAAAATTGCATAGTGAATTGATAGTTTCGTTTTCTAGAAATCGGACTGTAAGAAGTCAGCTTCTGATTTTGATGCTTCAATGCGAATCTGGACAGTATCTGCCCTTGAGTTCCTCTTTCCTCTTGTGTTTGACAGTTACGAACAGAGATCGAACCCACTGCTTTTGATTCATGTGGTGAGATGGGATTTCAACCAATCATGGTTAGAATAATTTTCTACATGTTGTGATTTTTGTAGAATTCTCGTTGTGTAAATGTTCCTTTGGTGCGATCAGCTGTATGGATGATATGTTCGTTGATTTCGAACGAGATTAAAAATTTCTACGAGGATGTGGAATTCAATTCTATTTTGAAATGGCGTTTAGGAATTGAGGTAATTTGTTAAGTAGCTCTAAAATTTGAACTAGTTTTTGTGCCTGAGAACTTTTAGGAGAAGCCGTATGAAAACTTGCATAATTTCTTGGCAGGAGAAGAATTTAGTGCGGAGATATCACTGTCAAGGTCAGCATTATGGCTGCTAGCTGCTGCTTTAGGTACGTAATTCACATCGAAAATTCCTGCCTAGATCTATGAACTATGAACGATAATATTAATAGAAAGGACAGAGAGAAACGACAATTGTATTCTCTTGTGATTTGTAAACCTTCCAACAGTTTACCGCCTCATCGTGGCTGGGAGGTGTTCCTGGATGTCGGACTGCGATGTACAGCAGGAATATTCATCCTCTGGCAGGGTGTTCCAAGGTGAGAAGGAGTCCGACGTTCCCATCAGAAAACCCAGCTAAGAGTAAACCAATACCAGTATCCACCACCGTCCTGGTATCAAACTAGTCGCATGGTGGCAGATATCCCTCTGATTCACAAGGACGGCGATTGCCTGTGGTGGTGACGACTTGAGGCAAACCTTGGTCTGGTTAACCTCACGACTTCAGTGAACCACAATGGCTAAACCAGCAAAACCCCGAAACTGGAAATTATACTGGGTCCGCGCAACCATTGGAGATGGGCATTCAGGTGTCTAAATCAGTATAATTTGTAAAACAAGATAATATTACAAAGTTGCAAACGCCAGCGTAGTGAAGAAAATGTAATCATACGATGCACGAATGTTCTATAGGTGTTGAGGAGCTTGTCGCAAATTCAGTGAGTTATTCCATTCCGTCTGATAATTCAGCGGAAGAGAACATGGCGCTCTTCTGCAGTAAAAACACCATCGAGCCTGACGATATCTCGGTGAGACATATTGTTTTGAAGAATTCTTGTTGTTTGCATGTTGATTTTGCTACTTTTTTGTCCATTAATAATCTTTTTTCGTTTATTTGCACATTTTTTTTTCAGAAAGTTCTTCCACAGATTTCTAATGTTACGCTTAGTGTGTTCTGGAAATATGAAAGGAATTTTAAAAAGCGGCTTGAACAGTTTTCTCTCAACGGTGGGGAAGAGTCGAAGCGTGTAGTATATGAAGGTATGAGGAATATGTTCCTCTGAAGCGCGCTTTAGAGGAATTTTTGATTTTTTTCAAGGTCTGTCTCATCTGTCTTCCATTTCGCTGTTGACCAAATCTATCGACTTGCCTTCTGATTACTCTCATCTTCGCGATGACAGTGTTCTGCGTGCTGTAATTGAACAGTTCTGGTGAGCAGTTTTTTTCATATTGTTTTTCATAGTTCGCTTAGTGCAGAGTTTAAGTAGTAATTTGAAAGACTTACTTACTTGGATCGTTCCAACGGTTTACCGCCTCATCGTGGCTGGCAGGTGTTCCTGGGTGTCGCACTGCGATGTACAGCGTGGGGATTCATCCGTCAGCAGGGTGCTGAGAAGGAGTCCCACGATTCCATCAGGAAATCCATCTAAGAGTAAACCAATACATGACCTACCACCGTCCTTGTATCAAAGTCGCATGGTGGCAAATCTTCCTCTAATCAACAAGGGCTGCGACTGCTTATCGTGGTGAAGACGTGGACAGACTTGGGTCAGGCTGACTTCGAGATTCCAGAGAATCACAACGGCTTAACCAGCAAATCTCCGAAAAATGGTGATTATGCTGGGGCCTACACAGCCAGTGAGAACGGGCCGTTCAAGTGTCAAGTATCGAGTACTTGCATAATTGGATGGTCCGTCCTCAATGATTATGCGGGCCTCAGCATAATTTCCGATTTTTTGAAGTTTTGCTGGTTTAGTCACTGTGGTTCCCTGAACTGCCGAAGTCAGCCTAACTCAAGTCTAGTCCAGGTCGTCACCACCACAGGCAGTCGCCACCCTTGTGGATCAGACGGAGATTTGCCACCAAGCGACTAGTTTGATACCAGAACGATGGTGGGTTCTGGTATAGGTTTACTCTTAGCTAGGCTCCTTGGTGGAAACGCCGGACTTCTTCTCAGCTTGCGAAATCGCTGCTGAGGAATGAATCCCTCCGTTTCACATCGCAGCCGGACACCTAGGAATACATCTTAGCCACGATTAGGCGGTAATCCGTTTGGGTGGATTTGGAAGACAAGCTCAGAAAGTGGCGCTGGTGATCTCAACTTATTGAAGGTAGCTGCATGTACGTTGTATTGGAGAATTAATTAAATTAAAGTTGTGAATGTGTATTTGGTTCATATTGTCATTTGTTGGGTTAGTGGACGTTACATTCTCTGCAACGCGATTATCGATCCATTGAATATTGGAAGTTGAAGACATTTGCTTGATTCCCAGGTGATGTAGAAATGGCGAGTAATTAGGGTTCATTTTACTTCACCTTTAAGGTGCTATATATGTATATAGCAAGTATTAGACGATATGGACCAAAACAAGTCTTTCTAAGTTGAGATGTAGGTGAAATTAAGAAGGTAAGCTCCTTTTCTCTGCGTTGTGGGATAGCCAAACTATGCTATGAGCCCAACCTTATGGCTGCGTAATTAGTGTGAGCGAGTGTATGTGGAGTGTATTCTTCACATGAATCTGGCCAAAAAAGATTTCAGTCAAATGGCCTTTGGCTGCTTAGCGTTTGGTCTCGGACACTAACTAAAAAACGATCTTCTTTGGATGAACTCGGCCTGCTCTTCGTGATTGCTTTTCGGTTAGGTTCAGAGGAAAAAGATGTTAGAGTCTCTAGTTCGAGTATCTTAAGCGATTGCCAGTCTTATGAATGGCGGATTTGTGATTATTTCATAAGTGAATGTAGCGCATACAAGGCGTATATGTAATTTATATATATTGCTCTTTAGAAGTAAAATTTTTAGAATTTTTTAATAATAGATAAAGTTAGTAATAACATGGGTAGGATTAGAACTGCCGGAAAATTCCAAACGAAATTTAGATTGTTCGAACTTCCAACGGAGCAGCGACAGCAGCAAATATAAATGGTACATTCGGGAACATCGACCTGTCATGCTAGACTAGACTAGATTCCAGTTGTCCATTTACTTTCGCGTTCGAAACATGATCGTTTTCACAGAAAATAAAGGACAAATGTGCGACTGTCTCGAGATAGTTAGAATGTCATCTTGGCAAAGCAACATTACTTGTATATGATTGGCAAAAGGGTTGTAGATTCTAATAGTTTTTATTTAATTTGATAAAATTTAACGAACAGTGTGTTAACTTTTTGTTTACTGCAAGTTACAATATTTTTCGGCAGGGTGTTATGTGAAATGCAACCACAGTGACGCTGAAATATTTACAAAATTCCGGACCGCAGGTGCCTACGATAGGAATGAACGCGTTACTACCCTTTCCAGGCGCTAACACGTTCACCACCGCACCATGCGTGTCCTTCTTTTCGCCTATCTCTCATCTAGTTTTCTATCTACCAGTGTCATCAGCCATGTCAAAGAGCAGAGATAGGTTAATTTAAGGTTGAAAGCGGTCGTTATTTTTGCATTTTATGACTCCTGTAAAGCTGGCGTCGCCGTGTAAGTGTTCGTGGAGTCCAATTCATCGCGCAGCAATAAGAGATTGATCAATGCTGTACGTCGTATCCTCTTATCCTTTTGCAAAATCCACTAGCTCGTATCAAAATTCTCCGTGGAGGATCTGGTGATGCAAAGAAGGTTAGGTACGATATCGTAACACAGATCCAGATAGTTCGTCACTAAACGCTGTTTACTGCCGAAACCGGAAAAGAACTGCTTCTTTGTAGATCCTTGCCAACACTAGTTCGGCCACGCATATTGATTCCTTCATACAACTAACCATTCGAATTGTTCATTTACAATTGAAAAAATGAGGTCATAATAACTTCAAAGACCATTAACGCTTAGGGTTCAACGTGAATTGATTGACGTTGTCAAACGGTGCTGATTAATGGACACCGACTTATCTTAGCTCCTAATGAATTTTATTATCTAATCAATAAACTTTTAATTGATAAGCCAACAGTAGGTTGTTAGCAAACATTTATACGGCTGGAGTCTCGACGTCTTCGTCTTCCTCAGAGCTGATGATCCGAGTTGGTAGTCCACAATCGTTCGTCTTCTCGATGTGATATCCTTATACGTATCAAGTCGAATATTCCTCACTGGAGCACCGCTCGAATGAGGCTACCTCAGCCGGTGGCGGTCTTATACACAAGACTGTTGTTGTTGATATGATTGCCCGTTTTCTTCTTATTAATTTTATTATGTGAAGTGGAAAGAGGCTCGCGTTGTTTTTTCCAGGAAAGTTAGAACTCTGGTTCCATGGAGTGTATTTCTGACGTTCTTCTTCGTTGAGAATCGTATTTCGAACACGAAGGCAACTAACCAAGAGGTTTTCTTTCAGCAGAACGCGTTGATGTCTCTGAATGCATCGCTCCTATTTGCGGATGTCGTGATTGCTTTAGAGGTTGCGGAAATTTTAATTTCGTTTGCAGTTTTTTTCGTAGGTTTTAGTCCTGAGCACTCTAGAAATAACATAGCTATGTCGAAATGCCACATTCTACAGGACGCGTGAGGCGCATTGGTTGGAGGCGACCTGCAGCACACGGAGTCGATCCCGGTACCCGCGGCCCACCATACTTTCCATCTCTCCGGAGTCGGCAAATTTGTATCATCTTTGTCTGGGAGGATAGCTGCACTGGCTCTATACATCATTAAGCCACCGCGAATCATTGCAAGGGCTGAATATGCATTCAGTCACCTTCAACGATGCTTAGTGAAGTCGAATGCATGGCTCATCCCTCAGTGATTGATCAACGCCGAGAGCTTTATGCTTTTTTATCTTATTTAGTTTTACATTGATAGACCAAAATCTCGCGTATAAGCCTACCATGTTCTTTACACTTCTAATATTGGCTATCGAACAGTTATCAGTAAAATCATCTTTTCTTGAATTAAGCTTTAGACCATAGGTGTCAATATAATGTTAGCTCGAAATCACAGTCTTTTTGTTAACATTTGACGGTTTCCTTAGTCAAAAATAGTGAAAAAACCGTAAAGTGCAACTTTTTGCATTGAAAAGAGGAAACGATTAAAGTGAAGAACATCATTAGACCATCATAAACAATATCGCCTCTTTTGCTATGGAATGAAACGTCGGTACATTTGGAATTTCCTATCGATTGAAATCCGGCAATCCTTCAATTACACCGGCTACGAAAATCGTAGAACCTCTGCACATTCAGAGCGCCTCTGCAGTACTGCTCAGTTTATATCTGTCATTCATCAGTTCTGTAGTGTAAATTCATAACCACAGTTTTCACCATTTCACAATGGGTTTGTCTTCAACGTAAAGACAGGCAGTCGACAGGCGATAGAATCTCGCCAAAATTATATACAGCCACACCGGAAGACGTTGTGGAGGTTGGAATTACGTCAAGTGGTTGTGAAACATAATGACTTACAGCAGCGATATCATCGCTTTGCTGATGATGTCATCTTTCCATCAGCCATTAACAAAGAGCAACAATTTTCGAACCATTTAGGCAGCGCTTGTTAGAGAATTGTTGTTCGCTTGAATCTCAGGATAACTGTTTTTATGAGTTCCAGATTCGTGAGTGCCATTCACGCTTAACAGAATGGACTTTTCTAAGTTGTGTGGAGATATTAATTGTTAAGCGCTAAAAGTGACCTGTATTGTGCAAATGAGAAAGTAGATCTGAAATCCAGACCTATGTTGATGATCGAAGACTATAAGTCCTGCAGTATGCATCGAGGTGTCGGGAAATAGCTTTAATGAAGACCTAATGCGTCGTAACGACAAATGATGAATAGAAATCGTTAGTGAGTGGTTGTCATGTGAAGTTAGGCGTTGAAGAAGAAGACCACCAATGAGGTGGTTAGGGTTGGATTCTTAGAGTAAAACATGGTTATTATAAGCATAAATGCTCTTCCATAACGGGGAATACATTGGGCTGATACTGATGCGATCCTTTGACAATCAATAGCTCATTCACAGCGTATTCTTTCTGGAATTCGACTAAAATCTTCTGACATGATGGTTTTAGTTTCCTTTTGCGTGTTGCATTTCTTTCTGGTTTCTGTTTTTTTTTCTTAAAATCCTCCAACTCTTGGTTGAGTTATAATAACACTAGCGATAGTAAGTTGCTAAGGCTAAATTCAATATTGCTTGCGTTTCTCGATTGTTTTGTTCTGTCGTGGTTTCATATTGCTTTCCGGTATGCTCAAGCTCCTAACTCTGTGCCATTCTATCATGAAAATGAAAGCATACGTGGTTTTACACGATTTTAGTGCAAAGTCTGCGTGCCAAAGAGCCATCCTCCATGATTTGCTGCCAGTGCTCGTCGATCATGTGCGAAGTGACGGACGTCATCTTCCACCGCTTGATTTAAAGATCGTCTTATCGGCTATAGACTACCGTAATGATGACGAAGCATGTCTTAATATGCTCCGCCTTGCCATCCAGGAAATAGACCAACAGGTTTGTATTTTGAGAGTAAGAGCTTACCTCTGTGTTACTTCACTTGCTTCGATCTCAGACTCGCACTCTAGTGGTGTTTGTTTAGGTGATGTATGAGCTTACGGCACCTGGTTATTTGGATGGTTCAGCAAATATGTCTCCGTATTTGCTTTTAATTTCCCAGAATCTACCGTTATTTTTGTCGTTTTTACCAAAAAGTCGGGCTGTGATGGTGTTAGAGCGCCTTCTTAAATTCGCTATTCAAGACGATGACGTAGGGAAACAAATACTGGCTGATATTGATAAATGTGGGCAACAACAGGTGCGTTCGTATTCCCACCTGCTTTTGAATGTGTTTTGCACTTTTATGATATAAAACTGTCTTTATGAGATATGTAGAAAATTAGCTGATGTAAGCGCAAAGCAAGGGTGTCCGTGGTGCAGTGTGTAATACGTGAGCCCTGGAAAGGGTAATCGTGGTTCAATCTGGCCCAGGATCCAAGTTTTGCGAATATCTCATCGTTCTTGTGGTTGTATCTCACATCATACCATGCGATGAGAAGCTGTAGTAGGCAGAAAATGAAAGGTTGAAATTATGTACTTAAGTTTTTTTATTAGGTTGTATTTGACGTGTTGGTCACACATGTGCCTTTATTCGAGTTGCCTACCGATCTGCTTCACAAGGTAACCAGCCTCAAAGCCATTGATAAACGATTTAAGGGACGAGTCTCTGGGTATGTTGAATTGGTATTTAATCTTGAAGCTTAACAGAGCTTAGTAATACTCTTCCAGATGTTTCGATTTTTGGCTAGCATGTAGTGGGCGTATTGACTCGAATCTATCTAGTCTGGTTGAGATGTTTGTAGAAGAAAGTGCGAATTCGTGAGCAATGTTTTTCACTATTTGTGAGAAGTTATCACTCCTTGAAACATTTGTTTCTTTCCTTCGTTCGAACCAGTGATTTCTCAGGGATATTATGTTGTGTATATTTGGCTATTGTTCCATGTCGTTGACGTTGAAGGAAAGGCTTGATAAACTTGTCGACCTAATGAGTATTGGGAAGGTAATGCTGAGTAATCGAGGCTCCGCCAGAAAAATTGTAGGTTTATAGGTTTTTTTTTAGTCTAAACACTACTTTTTTGGACTGGACCTTTTTTGGACTTTTTTTAGAATTTGTGCAACCATTACTCATGAAAATTATGTGCAGTCACTATATTATTTATTATTATTATAATTACTGCATGTTATGTTTACACATAAATGTATATGTATGTATGTACATATATATACTTGTACGTATATATATATATATATATATATATATATATTTATAGATATATATATATATTTTGCTAGTGTTTTAGTTCTTTCCTCATAGTAACTGCATACCTAGCACAATACAACACAATACAATACAACACAACACAATACAACCGGATAATAATCAGCTGTTCTAAACTTCCTCATTGGAAGTTACGAAAAAGCGGCTCTGAAGAAGGCGATAGTGCCGAGACGCCAGCTAGCGTTGTATTGTATTGTGTTTTTATGGAAGTAAATGTATGCTGTTTAAAAACCTCGCGATTGCTGAACAAGAAAACGACGCATTTATATCCACATAATTTCAGGATTCACTTTTGAAACTATTCCTCGCCTTATTATGCTCTGCACCGGCTGACATCCCATTGCACTGGCTTTCTTCTGTTAGTGAAGTTTTTATATATGTATACGTATATATATATACATTTATATATGTATATAATGCCTAATCGCTGTACTTATTCATACTTCTAGGATACCCAAGGTTTGTTATTTGCACGATGGCGCTACCACTGGAAGAAACTTTCAAACATTTGCCAGTTCTGTGAATTTTTTGACATGGTAGGTCGACTATTAAAATTCGTTGCGTTCTATATGACGAATAGGTCGAACAAGTGGTTCATCTTGACTGTTTGGAAAATAGAACAGTATTGACACCAAACATTTATGGTTTAGATTGCTGATTTTCTCTCTGCTTGCTTCCTTATGGATGGTCTTTCTGCCTCTGTAGTTAGTGCCGTTAAAGGTTGCTGTTAGAATTTTACGACACCTTGACTATTACTGTAAACGAATGATGCACTCCTTTCATTTCCAGATTATACCTAGTTCGTCACTTTTGGTTACTTTAGGTATGATGCTTTACATTTCTACTTCACGACCTACGTTGATCAGAGCTCTCATGGAAGATAAAAGTGAGAAATGGGAAAAGCTGTTAACACTGTGAACATGGGAGATAGATTGTTTCATTCTCTATTTGTTAGAAACTTCATTGGATGCTTTGTGCTATTGGAAATTCATTGAATGATAAAAAGTTTGCTGTCTTCAAGAGCTCACTTTATTTGGTAGAAGAGCAGAGGCAACAAGTTGTTCACAATTTGCCACTGTTCTAATGCATTTTTGATGGGTCTCCTAGAGTTGGTCTTTAATCTAGTGATTACAAATAGTTTATTTTTCAAAGGAATTCCTTAGATCAAGAACAGATGAAAGATAGGACGCATTTACAAGATTGACTCATTTTTAAACATCAATAATACGAAATTCTACTGGTTTTTCACTTGTTAGGATACTTTCCTAGGGCGCGTGTGGTGCAGTAGTCGGAAGCGCCGGGCAATACACACGTGGGATCGATCCCTGCACCCGTAGCTCACCAAGCCTTTCATCCCTCCGGGGTCGGACAAGACCAGACCTACCACACTTGTCTGAGAGGATAGCAGCACTGACACGATACATCGGTAGGTCACCGCGAGTCATTGTAAAGGCTAGATATGCATTCAATCACCTCCGACGGTGCTTATTGAAGTCGAGTCCATGGCACATCTCGCAGGGAGTTATCAACTCCGAAAGCTTTATCTTTTTTTAATCTATTAGGGTACTCTTCTGGATGCTAGGTGTTCTTATGACTAGCCGACATTTCATAGCGACAGAATATAATGAACTGGAACTAGATCATTTTATGATAGCTGACTTTATGTTACGATTACAGACACATCATCCTAATGGCATACCATTTTTGACAACCAGAACGAAATTGGAAAGTGTTGATACAAACGAGCAGATTGTTGTAATCATACTGTGTTCACCATTGGTTACTGATCAGATCTCTCTTTGATTATGTTTCGGATGACATTCGCTAGAGAATGGAATGTGAGCCGGTCGAATTGATGTGACTGCAAACTTCGTGTTAATGACTAATGTAAAGCTGTTGCTCGTGATGAACATTTCTTTATAATAATTATGGTTCCTAGTACTAGATAATAGTAAGAAGTATTAGATTTTATTATATGCGACCTCTGATGAGCACAATGTAGATCTGCGCTAAAATACTCTATGGATAGATAAACTTTACTGCATAACAAACATAACAGCTATAGTAAGTAAATACTAGGTATGAGAGTAAGAATAAAGTCCTAGATTTTCATATTTGCATTTTTATACAGATAGGTACTACATAGGTTTCAGTAGGTGGACACACACCATATCCATCAGTCTGCAAACGTTTATGCAGAGGAATATTCCCTACCTTTACCTATATTTAAATGAAAATATCAAAACAGTTCGGACTTCAAGTCTGTAACCAGGAAGTATCTAGGTTTATATCTAGGTTTAAACATTTCTGAGTTAAGCGTCGTTTTCTTGTTCAGCAATCGCGAGGTTTTTAAACACCATACATTTACTTCCATAGAGAAACAGAATACAATACAACACTAGCTGACGTTGCGGCAGTATCGCCTTCATCAGAGCCAACTATTCTCTTCCAAAGGCGATCCTCCAAATACAAAACACAAAAATGTCCCTTGGTTGCACACTTCTTCATCCTGGCAAACATCTCGTTCTGCTTGCTTCGTACAAGATGTACCAGCAAAATACTTTCGACTTGTGAAGGAAGCATTGTCACTAAGACAGAAGATTGTCTTAGCTAGACAGCAAATCAACTTCCTCCGCCGCTGTTTTCAACATCGAGTCGTGCCGAAGTTTATAAAACGAAAGCGACTTCACGAGATATGCGGGCAACTAGAGAACAGCCAACAAGTACGAAGCATCGAAATGGAACTGCTTCGAGCTGCGCTACGAAGCAAGCAGAACGAGATGTTTGCCAGAATGAAGAAGTGTGCAACCAAGGAACATTTTTGTGTTTTGTATTTGGAGGATCGCCTTTGGAAGAGAATAATTGGCTCTGATGAAGGCGATACTGCCGAAACGTCAGCTAGTGTTGTATTGTATTGCGTTTCCCTATGGAAGTAAATGTATGCTGTTTAAAAACCTCGCGATTGCTGAACAAGAAAACGACGCATTCATATTCCAATGCCGAGGGTAATAGAAAGTCGATCCTGGGAGCTGAGTTAAGCGTTTGGGTGCACCGTGCCACTGACTGGGTATTTCAATTATTGCCTATAGTTGTCTCACAAGATTTAATATTATCCTTATTAGCCTTGTGAATTTCACTGGCCGCTGAAGGAACTCGTAACAAATGAACAACACGGAGAGTGTGTTCTTCAGTAGAAAGTGTAGTCACCATTGACAAGAGACGTGCATCTTCGGATAGTGCCAACTCCGTTGCTGTGATGGTTCCATAAGCGGAAAGCAATTCCAAGGCCTGAGAAGTAGTTTCATATAGAGGGCCTCTCATAAATTTTTGCTAATAAATGAATAAATATTCCTTGATGAGGTCTCTACGTAGTTTAGGTCAGTAAACTGAGGTGTTGACTTAATGAAATTTTGAGAATTATAGCAATAGAAACTTGGAAATTGTATAATAGTTACAAGTGTTATACCATTGAGATGTAGCTTTACTTTCATGAATGGCGCTTTACAAGTAGGATACGAATTAAATCCCCAGTGCAGCCGTTAGCTGCTGTCGGTCCTCACCATTAATGCATCCTTTACGTAGATGTACTCCTTGCCGACGAGGTGCTCAAGTTGTATACCTGATTGTGGAAGTAGAGACGAGAGAATAGAGATATTGTTTGATAACCAAACAAGCGAAATCTGAACCACAATAGACGATTATGCGATCGTTTTCGTTGTCATCTAAAATCAGCTGTTGGAATATTTATCGGTTACCCTATTTCTGCTACGGAAATTTCTTCTCAGTGTTTTCAAAGACATCAAAATTATTTCACACCTAAGATATCGGACAGACCTGTTTATCTCAGTCTTGGATTCGAGAATTTGCACGGGGCATTCTGCAATTAGAGGTGTTCACCTGTTTCGATTCACTAAACTTTCCGATTGCTGTGAGGTGTTCCTTGATGATGTCGAGATCCTCGAGGGATAAGCTTACGCTCGGATTGTACGGAAATATACCACCCGTCCTGAATTATTTGGCCAAACTTTCACAACATCCAAAATCTACGCCTTGTAAAAAATATTTTCCTTTCATATAAGCGCTGTTCTGAATCTTCTTATTGACTTTTAAGTAAAATTGGAAATCTGGTCACTGGAAGCACATCCAAAGAGCAGAAATGCAGAGAAAAGTGCGAAAAACGAAAGAGGAAAAAAAGATTCCAGAATCTGTATTTTCTAATGTAAGGCTGTATTTTAGAGCCTAGACGACTCCAGATTCTACTCCCAGGCTTCGTTTTATTTCAATTTTAGTTGAGATTTCAAGTCATTGATTTTGAATTTTTCTGTACTTAAACGAGTCTACGAAAGAAGCCCGACATCAGAAATGCACCCATCTGCAGGCTTGTTGACTTGCTGAATAAAATTCCGCTTTTTCACCGCTTGACTTGTATGCTTCAGAAAATCAGAATTTCACTACCACAGAACAAGAAAACTCACAGTTCGTTGGGACTCGCAGATTCTAATGGTTTCTGTTTTAGTCTAAAGAATTCGTTATGATCTGAGGTTTTCTTCCCGAAAGTCGGAAAGACAAATATTGTCGGCAACGTATGGGTCAAATATGGCTCATGTCGTCATGAATATTTCGATATGGTGACTCTTTCCTCATTCCATCATTAATTCATTCTCGACTACGCTTCATTTTTGTGGATGCTGCTATGGAATACGGGCATTTTCCGTCAGCTGTGGTCTTCCTGGTTTTTTACAATAAAAAGTAATTTCTTCAATAACTAGGACGCTTTAGGACGCGTATGGCCCAGTAGTTGGAGGGGCCCTGTAACACTCACGTGAAATTGATCCCTGCGCTCATGGCCCACCAAGCCTTCCATCCCTCCTTGGTCGGCAGATTGGTACCAGACTTATCTGGAAGGACTGTACTAGCTCGATACATTGGCAGGCCACCGCGAGTCATTGCAAAGGCCAGATATGCATTCAACCGCCTCCAAACGATGCTTAATGAAGTCGAATGTATGGCGCATCCCTCTGGGATTGATCATTGCCGAGAGCTTCATTTTTTATTTTATCCTTTTAGAGCACTTTAGAAGTTATGAATATGAGAGGATCATAGCAGAGACTTTGCTGTACCGTTCTTTGAGTATGAATGACATGTACGCTACTATTTGTTGTATGTTGTTGTAGTTCACCATGCAAATACATTGCTGTCGGCATTTGGAATTATTTTGCATTCTATATCAAACTTATTCCGATGTTTTTTGATCCACACTTCATACAGTGACAGTAGTAATTAGAATGAGATAGCACTCAATTATTAGTCAAATTAAGAGTAAGTGAACTCGCCGGAGCAAATGTTTTCGTAAATCATTAAGTGTGGAGAATGGTCTTTATGGTCTTGCCCCTACTATTTTGGTCCGCCTTTGATGATCTACAGAATGAATATAAATAGCGCGCTAGAAAAGCTCTGGAACCCACTGAACTGGAAATATGCACCATGGTGTCCATATTGTCCACTCTCTCTGACATGTATGGATACCATAGTGTCCATATTGTCACGAATGGGTTATATGTGGTAGACTAGCCACATGAACGTGTTAGGTTTCTTAAGAAATTATTTGGTTCTCAAGCTTATTGTATTTAGGATGCATCTAGTTGTTCTAACAAATAAATGCTGAACATGGTCACCTACTCATTCGACTGTGTGCTTCGTTGAGTGCGTAGTAATGTCGGCATTGAATACAGAGTGGAGAGTGGTGTCCGGTCTACTGAATTAGTCTACTATGTTCGCTCTCGGGAAAATAATGCTTTTTTTTCCAAATAAACAGTGAAATTAAAGACTATTTATTTATTTTACGCGACCTGACACCAAGTGAAGTTAGACAGAAGCCAAGCGGAAAGAAAGTGCGGACTCCCAAAAACTCAGAGAAGGAAGTTGATATCAAAGCAGGAATAGGAGCGCTATCTTGATGTTTTGTATCCACAGCGTAGTTTTAAAATGGCAATCGGTCTTCGGGGAATAAAACACCTTCCATTAAACATAGAAATGGGAACGCTGTCATTCCACGAAGGAAGACGTCGTTTATGACGAGATTTTTTAAGCCGACAGGAACGGTTCTAAATCTTTACGAAACTTCACTGTACAACATTGGCAAACTCGAAGAACCTTGCAAATGCTGACTACGAGTGATCTGTGTTCCAAACCTTCCATTACGTCATTCAATCAAAAAAAATCTGGTTAGCATATCTGCCATCACCAATAGATCGCTTGCGAAAGAGAATTCTTTCTTTTCCTTACATAACCTATTACCACATCCGCTGTGCGGATCCTAGAATTTCCTAAACTCGATTCGTTTTCCTTGCATTCACCGTCCGCGAATGTCTGGCAATATTTCACATGCTGTTTCAACTGCTGCTTGGGGATTTAGTCTTCTTTTTATGGATATCGTAAATTGTTGATCGAGTCGATTCTTCTTTGAACCTCATAGATAGCCGAGCAGAGGCATTCCCACGTGTATCTGAGGAGTGTTGGGAGGAGTCGAACCAGTACCTTGATTCTTGGTGGACTGCTTCACTAAGCACTCCTCTCCCTTCTCCGAAAGGAAATGTTGAAGTTCTCTTAGACTACACCATATCTTACGCGGCTGCTAAGAAACACTGGTTGCTGAGAGCCTCTAAAGAAGGACATTCTACTATCTAAGAATAGAAAACTAAAGACAACTCAAAAACGAATAGGTCGAGAGAATTGCCGTTAGGACTAAAATAATTATTACAATTCCGCTTTCGCATGTGCCGAGTTGACTATTCCCTACCACTTTACATCTCGCTTCAATTGCCTAATATTAATCGTAACCTATTATTTTATGATCTTTACGAATGCCTCAGACGAAGGTCAGTAATATAACAATAGAACAACTCATTCCATGGACAAAACTGACGGACCTACATCTTTTTGAGGAACAGTGCTCTCGTTTCTATTCCTCTTAATCTTTGCTTTCTTCTTCCTTTTAAAATATTATAAGGACGGTTCGTATGACTTATTGTGCGTCATCTATCACTCTCTGCTTTGCAAACTTCTCCAAGGCCATGTAAGATGCCTCTACCTTCCCCTCCCTTACAATTTTATGTTAGAACAGGCGACAACGAAGGCTGTTGAAGCCGGCACTGTTCAACAATTTAAGTCGTAAATGCAGTTTTCGGTTGTTAGTCGTTCAAGAGAATCAACGCTCATTTCAGTGCACGTATTAAAGCAAGCACAAATTCGATCCAGTTCTCTTCTATCACATTGGCAGGAAGATATCATAGATCGAGCGTAATCTGTAGCTTTCGATTTCATAAGTTCCTCAAGCCGTTAGTTTCCTACTGCCCACATTTAGCGCTGTGTTCCTCACTATGTTCACTTCTGAGAGTTTAATAACCTCTCTGTGCTACTGTCAACCGAAATCTGTTTGAAGTTAAGGTGACGAGTTTTGATTTTGCCGTTTTCTAAACAAATACTCACGGTTTGTTTGTTGAATGCCGTTGAAGGACTGCATGCACTCATTGGTAGGTTTGGGGATTTTCAAGAGCACACGAAGAACCTATTTATCGAAAGCGACTCTTAACCACATCTTACATTTCAACTATTTAATTTAAGTCTTTGGAGGAAATCGGCGTGTAAGGGGACAATCCGCGTATGTCGAAATTCACTAACTGGAGATATTTGTCAATCTGAGAAAGCAGAATCAGACAGTGCACCACTGAGGACTAGTATTAAGCTACTTTAGCTTAATCCCTCTAGTGCCATGTCGGGACGTGCTACTCAAAGTGCCTCAACGAGAGTGTTATATATATATATATATATATATATATATATATATATAGCCATTTTTAGCATTGCTTTTCTCGTAAATGCTTCTTCAATAAACATACAAGGCAAACTGCTCATGTTCTCCACTTCCACTCCAGGTTGCGGACCTATTGACGCTATGCGAGGATCAGTTAAGGTTGCTTGTGTCCCTGAAATGACTCATTATACTGCAGATAAAACTTCTATCTCACGTTCTACAACAACAAGCAAAAGCCATTTCAGACTAACAACCTAGTGAACTTGGTGTTCAGGCTAGCACAGTATCCATATGTCATTTGATATTTCTTGGCGTAGTTTTTCCCTTGAAAATCCTAGCGTTTGAAATCCATTTCATGCGTACTCAATGGACGTTTACATCTTTGCAAAATGTGTGAAATAGTCAGTCGAATTAGTATTTCTCATGTAGAGTCACTTCCATTTTTTACAGCTGCGAGGTGGATGAAGTTTAATAATACGCTTCAGTACACTACACTACATTATAGTTTAGGAGCTTAGTTCATTTACACAGCCTCTGTAGAGAGTTCACACAATTCAATACGTTTAGGAAGTAAATGACACGAACTGATGTTTTTTACAACGCCATCAATAAGAGGGATACAAACTTCAATAGGTTTCCTCCTCGTCCCCTGGGAAATGTGGACCTACCTGCGTCTTTATAGCTTTCCATGTGATATCTAGACCAGTCTTTATAGACGAAGTATAGATGAAGTACAAATTTTTTTACAGTCAGTCGCGTACCGTACTAATTCAAAAGTGAACCTATCTTCATTATGAGAACATAACTCATCACGTAACAACAATTACGATGATTGCATGATAAGATTGCCCACTCGATAATCTTCATTCATCAATTTTCTTTCGTTACAGTAGACAATGATATATATATTTCGTCTATTTACCTTAACAGAGTTTCAGCCGTAGGCCCTATATTAGATTTTCAGTAGCTAGCCGATTAGCCGTAACGAACATTTTTTTCTACAAAACCATTAGGCAAGCTAGAACTGCTAATGGATCGCTACAAATTTTTACTTTTCAAGCTTTAATCTATAAAAGAATGTCAAAGACAAATATGACAGTCTTCTTGAAGTTCTGCAAGAAGATCATACAACTTATTTGCGGTACTCGAAATGTATTGCACTCTGCTCTGTTTTGAACAAGAGTTCTTAGAATATTAGCAAAACGACCTAAGCAAGGTAACACGGTAAGCAGAATTGGTGCTAATGATAGTAAACCATGGAGTTTGGCGTCTGTGGATTTCTCTCTAAATAGAAATTTGCATAAAATATAACCCATGGATTCCACTTTTGCGCATGAAAACCAGAGCTGACTTTCAGTAAGCTCATAATAGCTGTGTGTGTGCTATAAATGTCCCTAAGAACTTCTATTTGAAGTAAGCGACGAAGAGTTAGCCAAACATGACATTGAAGAGAAAGCCGTACGCTTGCAGATGCGAGCGCCTTTTTCAGTGGTCGTCGTCAGATTCGTGACCTTTTGTTTGTGTTAGGCGATTCGCCTCCATGATGTCTCAACTCGTGCTTGCCGAACCAGTAGCCGAATGCAATTTTGGAGTAAAGCAAATAAAACACATTGAGTACGTTCCTTTCAAGAGCAGATCCTAGTTATGAACCGCTTCGCACTGTCGTTGACAGTGCTCTTTTCACTCTCTATTCCAACCAATGCGGTACGACTTCTTTTTATATAGTGGTTAATGTCATCTAAAAACAGTTATTCAGGACTTTATAATGCAGAATAACTCTTAGAAACTTGTAATCAAGGTGTTAAAATTCGTGATTTTTGCAGTGTATTCCATACGGATGCTTTGGATGCCTTCCTGCTTGTCCGATTGGTTTGTGCATACCGACACCTAGGGTTAGGACAGTTTCAAACTTTATTAAACTTTCCGAACTGTCTCAGTGATTTGTTTTATTGTTAGAATGTTAACACACCGAATACATTTTGTTGTAACATAAACGTTGGGCCAAGCAAAAACGTAGTAAAATCCTGGAGATGTAGATACCAAGAGCAAATGGACAAATTGACAGTCATATAGTCTTTACCCATTTGCAAACTATACGGAATTGCTTAAGTGTTAAAGATAGGCCAAGCACTTATACGTGCTCTGACTTCACATATTCCAATAGAATGGTATAGTTTCGAAAATTTCAGTGCGTTGGCGGTGTTTGTATGGCGGCTCGTGCGAGGGCTGCTCGAACGTTCAAGGACGACACAGCTGAAGGACAAATAGTGAGCACCCAGGTGAGTAGTACGGAAAGAGATTTTCTTCGTTGAAAAGTAACATATGCAAAGCAACCGATCTTGGAACGGAAATCGGAAAATGAGTTCATTTTAAAATAACTCTGGCCACCGATTGCAGCATCCGAACGGTCATTTCTCACGATGCTGTTCTCTTCTCGATGTTCCAGTAAAGTGTCACCAAATGTGCACCTTTGAAGGCTACAATGTTTCAACGGTGAGCTCGATCATTAAAGTCATTTCATCCTATATCACTTTAACCTTCGGAGTTAGAACCCTTCCCTTGATACCGGGATTCCTGGTGGAAACGCCGGACTCTTTCTCAGCTTGAGCTTTGAAGGCCCTGCCGGGGAGACACGAATCCTCCCGCTGTACATCGCAACTCGACACCCACGATCACCTCCCAGCCACTATGAGGCGGTAAACCGTTAGAAGGTTTGTTATCATTATAAAGGAAACAAAAACCGGACCTGTTTTTCACTAATAATTTGATCCATGAATCCCATTGCTGCTGTATTGCTAGTGTCAGCAAAACTAAGGGAATTCGATCTCTTCAGTAATAGTTCTCACGACGAGTAGCCTTGCGCTAAATTACCGTAGCATGGAGGAGCACCATAGGTATTAAGGTGTTCATTGGCCTACTGGTGAAACCGTGAGAAAGCTGTTATATGGCTACCTGGAAACTCCAGGATAAAGTACCCCAATCGACAAAATTTCGATTTTCTGGGAACTGTGTACAATATACAAGTTTTAAGGGGCACAGTGGTTAGAGATGCCCTGCAATACACATGGGTTCGATCTCGCACCCCAAACTCACCACTTTCCATCCCTCCGGGGTCGGCAAATTGGTAGCAGAGCTGTCTGGGAGGGTAGCAGAATTGGTCCAGATATGCACTCACGGACAACCTCCAGCGATACTTAATGAAGTCGAATGCATGATGAATGCATCCCTCAGAGATTGATCAACGCCGAGAGCTTTAAGCTCCTAGTTTGTCCAAGTTCTTAGTACCACTATGTGATAATATTACTCAATCATTGTAAAAGCCTATTTCAAATTGTGGTTGAGAGCGAGCATCTAGCTCTAGAAAAACCTTGGTACACCAGACCGTTGGTTTTATAATGTTAACTTTTTATTTACTGCCCACTAAAATTTTCCACAGCAGGGTATTATGTGAAATCAACCACAACGACGCTGAGATATTTGCAAACCTGCGGACCACAGATGTCTATGGTGGGGACGTCATAATAACCAGCCGTGAAAAATTGTAGTAGGCAGTGAACGAATGGTTAACATTGTGATTTCTACTACTTTTCTCTCGAATCAGCAAAAAAACGACCCACATCGTGTGGTGGGGAAAGCGTTAGCTCCAAAACTGGTAATAACATGTTCGATCCCCACCGCAGGCACCTGTGGTCCGGCGTAGGAGTGTAACATGTGTGCTGCCGGTTGTAGACTGCTGATCGTCATCCATGGCGTTTTCACCTGAGGAATACCGTACCCTATCGCAAATCTTTATTTCCCAGCCAGATGGACAGTATGAAATCAAATATAGAGCTGAAAATGATAGAGTATTAAATTACCTACCTGCTTCTCGTCTCATGTCTTATGTACTGGCCACATTTACATTTACACCTTCTGAAGTTTTACACGTGTAAAAGTAAGTTTGACTTTCACATTATAAAGGTTATGTTTGTTACGATACAGATTCAATCATCTCTATCGCTCGGTTCCGCATGTCCGGCAACTGCTCTCTCGCTAATTCACTTCTGTGCAAGTGGAGGTGTAGATCACTCACGGTGCTGTCGAGCAGCAGGCGTTCAATCCGAATGTATCGAATTTTGCGATCAGGTAAGCAAGTTGTTATGTTAAAAGAATAAATTCTTGTATGCTGTTCAACTATTTCTCTTTAGCTAAACTGTCAACGTGTTCTAGTTTTTATATATTTTCTATTCACAAAGAATTCCATACCCCTTTCCTCCAATTGTTGTGATTAATGAACACCGTAAGATATAGAATATGAATCTATTCCAATACACAAACATCGCGATCAAACGTGGGGTGGTGAACGCGTTAGCCCCCAAAAAGGGTAATAGCATCTTTGATCCCCACCAAAGACACCTACGGTCCGGAGTATTACAAATATCTCAGCATCATTGTGGTTATATTTCACATCATATTCTGCCATAAAAACAATAGGCAGTGAATAAAAAGTGGTTAAATGAGGCTAATTCAAAGCTTCAATACGTTCGGAATATTATTATTTTAACAGTTATTACAATGACGATGTCTAATAGCGCGAACTTGCAGTCAAGAAGTTTTACAAGCGCTCACGTTAAATTTTGCGCCACGAAAATCACCTGTATCACCAGTTGATCGTCGAGTGACTCGAGCGGGCGCCGGTAAATCTTCCACTTATCCCTGTTCTGTGCAAGAGTAGCCCAATGGGTTCTGCTCGCCCTAGAGACTCGTCGAGCATCATATCTTTCTTCAAGGCTCCTTGTGCAGAAATTTGACCACCGGTCGGTGGTCTTCCTGCAGTACGTTTGACATCCCGAGGAATCCAGTCACTAATGGCTCTTGTCCATCGGTTGCCATTCATACACATTACGTGTCCGGCCCACCTTATCTTCGACTGTTTGGCGTACAGAACGCCATCTTTAATTTTTGGTCGTTGACGCAGATCGGAGCTTCGGATCCCATTCCTTATTTGTGTAAAACGGGATACTCCTAGCATCGTCCTTTCGACTGCACGTTCGATAACACTGAGTGACCTTTCATCCTGCTCACGCAGCGACCAGGTTTCTGGCGCATACGTTAGGGCAGGAAGTACCGTTGAGTCGAAAAGGTGGACACGGAGTCGGGTGTTCTTTGTTCTCTTCACTACATCCTTGATGCGATTGGAAGCTCCCCAAGCTGCTCGTTTCCTTGTGCCCAGCTCTAGAGCTAGGTCGTTCATCATATTGATTTCCTGACGTAGATAGATATAAATGGAGTATTCGGAGATGATCGCTCCGTTGAGCGCTAATGGTTGGGGCATGCGAAACCAATCCGTTCTTCATGAACATCTTTTTGTGAGATTTAGTCAAAGACCAATCTTTCCACAGGCTTTATCCAATTTGGCAAGAATACGTTCCGCTTCGCTAATGTCTAGTGTTATAAGGACGATATGATCAGCAAAGCGAAGATGGTGTAACTGCGGACCATCGATTTTCACTCTCATGTTATCTTATTCCAATGTTTGCATGACGTGCTGGAGAGTGACGGTAAATAATTTTGGCGAGATGGTATCGCCTTGCCTAACTCCTCTTTTGACGTCAATGTTAATATCGTTGTAGAACGGTGATACCTTGCTTCTAAAATGTTTGTACAGATCACGAAGAATCTTTATGTATTGAGTAGGGACTCCTTAACCATCAAGGGCTTCCAAGACTGCTTCTATCTCAACTGAATAAAAGGCATTCTGTAAATTGATGAAAGTGAGACAGAGCGGTCATTTGTACTCTCGCGATACTTCAATGGACCGTGATACCGTGTGGATGTGGTCTATCGTACTAAATCCTCTTCGAAACCCTGCTTGTTCACATGGCTATCCTTCGCCTAGAGTTCTGTCAATCCTGTTTAGGATGACTCGAGTGAAAGGTTTGTAAACGATAGAGAGTAAGCAGATTGAGCGATAGTTGCCGATATCGTGCAGGTCACCCTTCTTGAACAATAACACGGTCTTGCTGGTCTGCCACTGAGTAGGGACCTTACATTCAGACAGGTAACGTGTGAAGAGCCGAGCCAGTGTGTTTACGAGGACTGGCGGAAGGTTCTTCAGGTGTGCTGATCTTATCCTTTCCTGACCTGGTGCTCTTCGATTTTTCACCGACGAAATCGCATGTCCGATTTCGGAAGGGAGAACCGGTGGTACAACATATCCATGCTTCATATGATGGATGGTGGACGTGGCTATCGAAAAGGTCGGAGTAGTATTCGTGAATGATTTTCTTCATTGTCTTTCTACACGCTGTAACTGTTCCGTTTGGAGGCCAGAGTGCAATCATTTTGGTCTTGTAATTGACGAAGCTTTGGGGGTGGGCTTTGCCATTGCTTTTCCCAGCCTCTGAAGCTTCGACCATTACTGTTGCTCTTCTCTCTTTAAGAACTTCTTTTATCGCCTGTCTTCACTGTTTTCCAAGTTCGGACGTTAGTTCGCGGTTGCCTGCAGCTCATGCGATTCCACACTGGCGTATCAGCTCGAGTGTTTCTGGAGACAAACGTCTGTTGGTGACTTTCGAACTCTCAGCTTTCATAGCACTAACGTGAAGATGTTGAATGAGCCGATCGTATTGTTCGTCGATGTTACCGACAACGGCATCTTCCCAAAAGCCGACTAATGAATTGGATAAGTCCCAGTTTACAGTGGTTCTGGGGCTTCGGTTTTTGAATTAAACGGCTTTTTTCTCCTTTCCGCGAGAAATAGAATCTTGCACGGAACAGGTGATGGTCTAATCCCGTGTAGAATTTTGGGACAACAGCAGCATCGGTTAGGCAAAACCTATTCACTATGATGCGGTCTATTTCGTTATGGTACTCTCCATTGGGAGACTCTCACGTGCAGCGCTGAGGATGACGCTTTTGGAATTGCGAGTTACCATGGATGGTCTTTGTTGTCATGATAAACTCAGACATGAGCTCACCCTGCTCGTTTCATTCTAATCCGTTGGTCCCCATGTGACGCTCTTCACATCTTCGTCTGGGTCTAATCTTGGCATTGAAATCTGCAATGATGACCTTGAAGAATGTATGGTCTTCTCTATAGAACTTCTCCAAGTCCATATAGAACGCCTCAGTTTTTCTTCGCCATAGTTTGATGTCGGCCCGTAAACGACGAAGATTGCCAAAGCCGGAATTGATCCACGTCTTTCTAATCGTATACGTCCGGTTCGGGTTGTAAGTTGTTCGAATGAATCAGTGTTCATGGACAAACTCGTATTGACGAGAACGCCGACTCCGCCGAGTTCTCTACTGTCACATGTCCCGAGGAACAGTTCTTCTCCGGTGTCATAGACGGTGTTGCGTCTTTTCTTCTCGGCCAGGCCGATGACGTGTCGTACCTTGTCCTTCTTGCTTGCATGAGCAAGTCTTCTATCGAGGACCCGGATGCAAGTGTGCGTGCATTGTAGGTAAAGATCGTCACCATAGTTCTTTGAAATCCAGGCAGCTTCTATTGGCCCTGAGATTTAAGCAACCTCTCCGTACTTGTCCTACCCAACGATGCAAAATTGGGGTTCTTTCGAGGTAAGGTGAATGAGGCCCGTTTTTTTAAATTGTGTTTAGCATTTTTGATACCCACGTATAGCTTGCTGGGCTCTATACGTGGGGGCTATTTATACTCACATGTAGCTTGCCAGGCTCTCTCAGAGTGCACATGGAGCTTATTTGTTGGAGGCGACTCTTAACCATCTCCTATATACTTCCAAGTTACTTGATTGCAGGCTTTTGGCCGAATTGACTCGTAGAATACAATCCGCATAAGCAAGAACGTACCCACACACGCGTGCATGAATACGCCTAGCAAATACAGAAAGTATGTGCCAAATCAGCGCTGCAGAAACAGGGACTCTATCCCCTGGATCCACCTGCGTCGCAGAGAAGCAAAGGTCGCTTTTGGTCAGTGATTAATCCCCTATCCGCCACCTGGCGACGCGCCACGTAGTCTCTCGACTAACCGGCTCGAGATCTCTCATATGAGGGGGATCCGTGGGCCACGAAAATACCTTTTCACAAAAAAAATTTTTTTTTGCTTTAAACGACCCGTCTAACACATTTTCGAATCTCCGCAGCTTCTGTATTCGATTAGATCTCTCGAATCCAGCCATCCGCGAAGGTCTTCGAGTTTCTTACGTGTCCGTTCGCCGATACTTGAGAATTTTCCTTTCATCATGAATGTGGTTCTGTGCTGGTCGAGTCGATTCTCTCTGGAGTTCCGACATAAGCGAACTAGAGCGTTTCCACTTGGACTGCAAGACAGCAAACTTTTCCGAGAGAAGTCTGTTACCAATTTCTCGAACCCAAAGGGATTAGGGCCTTTTTGAACCTGTTGCGGGATCGAAACAGCATCGTCTAGTGATGATCGGCTGATCGGCTTTACTATCAGCGCGCTACCCTCCCATAACCAAGGAGAATATTTACATCATCACTGTTTTGGACGGTTCTTTTAGTATTCATGATAAATGCTTCTACCTAAGATCTAAACTCACCAATATAGCTTGCCAATCCTTCCATTCGACTAACTTACATAAATTGTGCCCACCATCAGCTTTCATCTATGCTAAAGCTAAGGGAAAAATGAAAAACCTAAGAACACTTCGTGAAATAGTTACCTTAGAGGTGTCTAACGAACAATTCGGCCGATCTTTCTGGAGGACATCTTTTAGGTGGTTTTGATTCTCTCAAAGTCCACTTCTTTGTTCTTTTCATATAGCTGCAGTGTTATCTTATCATTATGCGACGATGTTTATTTCTTCATCCAGACTCTTAAAAGTATATGTGAGGATGTTTTTCTTTAAAGTTTATAGGGCATGCTCAGTGAGCTGATCGGGTTCCTCCGTTACTTCGGTATCCGCACATAATTTTATGTGTACTGAAAAGCGTTGAGGAAGTGGGCTTAATATGGTAGCGAATAACTCGAGGGTGGGTGCTCTGGAAGTTTCCAGTCTTTAAATTATAGTTCGAATTTCTGCGAAACTGAGCATTTGCGGCGTTGTTTCAATTGGAATGGAAGGTCGTCGTACAGCACATGTGCACATTCTACCTCATAGCTCCCTTACTCCACCACACAGAAAGCAAAAAAAGATAAAGCTCTCGGCTTTATCAATTCCTGA